CAATAAAGCTTGTTTTACCTATCCAATTACTGTTTCTCCCATGTTACCACCCCCAAAGACTATTAAAGTAAGATGAGTGACATTGAGAGGACAAGTGATTCTGCTTATGATTTGTGGACAGCTGGTGTTTCCAGTTTCTGCAATGGAGCATTTAGTCTATTTTGATGTTTTCTACTTTATTGTGTAAAGGTTAAAAACAGAGTCTTGGTTAATATCTACAAATATCACAAGCTGGCAGAATGAGTTCTCAATGGCAGCTAACCACACAGGAACTTGTGAATGGAATATTAACCTGGATTGATTTGCTGATTCTCTTCATTTTACTGGTTAGATTCTGAGGAGCTTGTGATAAGCACATCAATAGATGTAGTTTTACAAATAGGCAGTATTGCATTAGAACATTGCCTTTCTTTTGTATACATGCATCACTGCCATTTTCAAGTTTTAGTACTTTAATTCACTCTACCTATGACATAGAAAATTAAAATAGCTCACAAATGGTATTTTGAAAAAAAAATTGATCTGTGAAGCGTCAAGACTTACAGTCCAAGAAACAATTTAAGTGGAAAAGAAATAAATATGAAATAAATCAGAAAAGCTTGAAATTTAGAACTAAAGATAGAGGTGGAGGCAAGTTAGAATGCTAGAACAGTCTCGAATCTCCTGTTACCTCACCTGTATTTTCTAATCTATGTTTGCTACAGCTACAAAGACAGATGTTGTTATGGACAGACTACAATCTCTGGAAAAGTAGAGGGCAGCCAATGCCAAGTGATTATGAGATAACAAGGTGTAGGGCTGGATGAACACAGCAGGCCAAGCAGCATGAGAGGAGCAGGAAAGCTGACGTTTTGGGTCTGGACCCTTCTTCAGAAATGGGGGATTCTGAAATAAATAGAGAGGCGGATGGAAGATGGATAAAGGAGCAGATAGGTGGAGAGGAGACGGACAGGTCAAAGGGGCGGGGATGGAGCCAGTGATTATGTGATTATGCTTTAATTGGCTCTTGCAGCCATTTAACCTAAATCTCACTCACATTGGCTGGCACCCCATCCCAAGTGCAGACCGTCAGAATGGGCATTTGCTAGCTGTGTGTTGAGTGTGAATGAGGGAATGAATAAAGAATATGCCTCTTTACATTTTTCCTCTTCTTGAACATGTTAAAAAAAAAGCAGAACTCATTTATTCCCCAACTGCCAGATGAATGTTACATCCAGAAAACTCAAGAGAAATCCCAAATTGTTTTTTACTCTAGAAAACAATATTCTCTTTAAAAAAAAGATGAAATAGACATTTTGCCTCAGTCCGTGCCAGCACCAAACCTCCACATTACACCAGGACAAGTCTCCAGACCATGCCAGGCTTCAAACCTCGAGGCCTCACCTCCCTGCACTGGTCTGTGGCTGGCACTGATCATGTGATGCCAGTTGACCACAATTTCTGGAAAGTTCTTAGCAGAAATCAGGTGACAAAACCTTACATAATACTCCAGGAATATCACACTCCTTGCATTGCATAGACATTCCAGTCAAGTCAGCACGAAGGAACTGTGGATGTGATGAATATGCTCAGCCATTTCAGAACTAAGGAAACAATTCAAACATATTGTGTATGAGATGGTGCTAATGGTCTCTCTTGTTATCTCCTAAAACACACTTTTTTTGACGAATAATATTAAAACCACCTTGATAGTTGAGTGCTCAGTCATGTGACTGAAAAAACACTCTTTTCAAGGCTGTGTTTGCTGCACAAGCATATGCATGCTATGCACCCATTTAAATTGTGTGGCCCCCTCGTCACTCAGCTGGTTTCTGCGCTGTCATCCCTCCTCACTCCAGGGGACTCCCCTCCATCCTTAATCCAATGTTTGCTCTCCCCACCGTTGAACCTATTACAAAAGTTCTGCATTTGTGTATGACGTCACAAATAAATTCTGTGTGATGGTAAATTGTTTGGATTCATGAACATACGTGCTCCCAATTTAGTGGCAATGTGTAGTTGCCTGCAGTTGTGGGTGTCAGCAAACACTGCTTTTTCTGAACAGCTTTATGTTTGCAACTTTGACTTCTTTTCTCAGTCTGCTTTTGTTTTGCACAGTACAATTAACAAAAAAGCAGCTCCAGGCTTAACTACAATCTGCCTCCAGCCTCAATCTTTCTCTGAGTTATGGAAGTCTGAGCTATGGAAAGAATCCCATACTTCACTTGAAAAGTGAACTAACTTCCCAGTGCAAGAGGTTTATATTGCTTTGCCTTCTCTGCAATCCATGAAAAAGATTTCTGCCACACCCAACAACTGTAAGACCCCATTGGAGGTTGACTTACTGGACTCTAATTCATGTGAACTATTGCCAATATCTCTGATTTATAAGTATTTGTAATTGTAACATTTTCCTTCTTTTCTCGTTTCTCCCTTGTATACTTACGTGTCCGTTAGTCTTGAGGTTCCATGCTTGAATAATTTTTTGTTTAAATCCGAAAGAGAGTTTGTTGAGTGACTTAAAAAATTGAACGTCATAAACAGAGGGCTTGGAGAGGATTTGGTGGGGGTGAGGAGAACACTTTTAAAAAAGAAATATGACTTTTATTAAAAATATAAGCTTTATTATGGGCAAAAAGGAAAATAGTAATTAAAGTTATCTCTCATTTATGTCAAAGCCAATTATGATTAAAAATGGAAATGAATGATCTCAGGTGAATTTCAGCAGGTCTGGTGTATAGGGGGAAAAAAAAAGTCTGGAATTAGAAGTCTAATATGAGCATAAAACTGTTGTTGGTTGTCAGAAAAAGGCATCTGCTTCACTAATATCTTTTTGGGAAATAAATTGTTGTCCTTACCTGACCTACGTGTGATTCCAGACCCACAGCAATATTGCGCTTTAGGCAATTGGGGATGAGCCACAGCCAGGGGCTTTCCTCACTCTGGCCAAGGTGCAAAGGCGCAGAGAAATTGTGGATGAACCAATGTATTAGCATGCCCAGGACCAGCAGCTATATCCAAAAGCTACCAAACAGCCTCCACATGAAGAACCTGCAGCAGAAGGTCCCTGTAGGAGATGATACAGGAGGCCCAGAATCCTCAATGCCTTTTCCTTCAGATGTGCAAGATACATTGCTGCCATGGAATAAGAATGTCCCAGAACACTGTCACAGAACTATGCCATCTGCTACAGCAGGATCTGCTACCCGAAGATCATCCTGCTCAAGTGGCTGTCAAGGTGAAAGCTGCAATAATCTTTTGTACAATTAGCTTCTTCCATTTATCGACTGGGGAACTGTGTACGATCTCTGAATCCTCAAATATATCAAGACTTTTCCGATGTAATTTGTTTTAGATCATATTGCTTCATGGTGTTTCCCTATGACAGGGTCAATGCTGCAGCACGGACAGTAAGTTGACACTTTATACTCATCGTTATTGGGAGATCCATAACATGATGGGACAGACTTCATCAGAAAAGGTGTTCCATTCCATAAATGTACATCTCATCTCTAGTCATTAGGACTACATTTTAGAAGGTTGTGCCATTTACTGTTGGAGCTACCAGGATACCTATATTCTTAAGAGCGCTCATATTCCAGCTTCATTTCAAGGGCTGAATGCCTTATAAAGATGGGGCGAATAGGAGACAAGGGCGACCCTCTGCAATCATGGCTGATGACTTCATGACACAAACCGGACAGAGGCTAAGCCTAGATACAATGGAGCCCATTCTTTCACTAGGGCCATCATGAAGGAGACATTAAACCTAAGAGGTTCTGATTCTTGAAGTTTCTGAGAGATAGGTGCTTGCAGTACTGGATAAAGAGTGTGCCACATAATCTTTGCATGCTGTGCTCTGCACAATTGGAGCAGAAAGGAGGGGAGTGATGGAAGATGAAGAGCTGAGAGAGTGGCAGTGTTTCAGAAAAGAAGTGGACATTAAGCGGGGGGGGGGGGGGGGGGGGGGCCATGATATTCAGCAAGGCAGGCGCGACAGGCCAGACAGGATTGAATTGAAACCTCCTATTATTTCTGAGCTTGTTGAAATGCTGATTCACAGACTGTAAATTGATTGTTGCTTCAAAGGCAATCAGCCTGTTTTTGAACTTTTTTTGGTTGCTTTTCCTGTTATTCAATGAAAGTTAGTGTTTTCCATTATGCAATGCTCCTACATTAAACAGTAAGAAGATGGTATGTTATGCTATGTTGGGCATTAGGGAAAGAGTAGCACTTAGATAGGGTGCTAACATTATATGGCACTAAGGTCAGGTAGTCTGTGAGACTTGATTCTTGTAGCTACAGTTACAATGATAGTCAATCGGGCAGGTCTGATAGAATCTCTGATCGATTCCATCTGCAATGAAGTGTCACCCCTGCCATTTATGTACCCTTGGAAACTTTTCAATTCTCTCCCACTACATGTACTGTGAAGGGCTATTCATGGCTGCTATGATTGACCTGGTGCAAAGCCAGGCTCTAAATATGGTGCCAGTGATGGCTATCCCTGCAATAGAGAGTATTTCTGCTGCTGGTGAGATCAAGGTAGCTTTGCAGGGCACCATAAAGGCATTGCAGAATTCATAATGAGGTGAGCAGCATAAAGGCTGAGATAACTCGCCAGAGCTGAGAGAGAAACCCTCCCCGTAACTCCCCAAAATTGACACTTAGCCAACTTTTAGCAAACTTCAGCCCAAGGAACTTTTAATGACTGCATTCGGAGCAGGATCTAGACATCTACCTTACATTTAAATATGTAGACAAATAGGGTCACTTCCTTCACCAGAAGAACAAATCTCAGAGTGGAACTGAGTTACCTAGGTTATGAAGACCCAAAAGTCATATGTCCCTCCTCACCCCAGGTCTATAACATTAAACTCAAATGGAAATCATAATTCATCTGAATTAACTGGATGGATGACATCATATTCATGACTATACCTCCAGCAGTGTTTCAAAAATAAGAACAGAATCACTAAAGGAAACAGTGTAACATGCAATAATTACTGCAAATATGAACCTTCTTTTCCAAATTTCTTTATTACAGTAAAGTATCACAAATTCAAATGATAACATAAAATAGAAGAAACTGCATCAATGATATTGCCTGTGCTAATAATACAGCCAGTATGTGCACCGACCCAAATGGCACTCAACACGAGTACAAATAAAACCTTTGCTTTTAGACATAAAATAATTTCTCATCCTAAAGTAACTGTCATGAAGTGGCCTTGTAATCTTACCACACATTTCTGCAGTTAGCACAGTAACTAAAGTTCTGCCTGAGGAGTTGTAAGTATATTAAAATTTAAACATACAAGGATGAAATAATTTGCTAAAGTTATTTTCCCTCAACCAAAACGTCCCTGAGATACGGCAAAAGTCTAACTCTTTAAGTGTTAATATAAATCAATCAATGAAGGGGAAAAGTACTTTCATTTATAGAAATACCAATCCCGTTGCTTGGATATCTGAGGCATCAATATCCTATTTACCTGTTTCTACTGACATGCCAGATTTGGAGTACAGTGGAGGAAGATCCAATCTGATGTGTCAAACTGGCCCCTCAATGCACACTTAATTGATGATATGATGATATCAGATCACCCCCATGGCTGAACTTGTCTGTCTGGCATGTTTGTCTCAATGTGCCTCAAGTTCCCAGGAATATTTCCTGGAAGTACTGTCACTGTTGGAATTGTGTTCCAAAGCTAAGAACAAGCCTTACACATTCAAATAACTATTAAACGGATTCTTTACATAGGTTCTGTACCTCCAATTCTGACCTATTGAGCATCCCGGACTTACTGTGCCATGCCATTGGTTGCTGTGTATTCAGCAATCCACGCCCCAAGCTCTGAAATTCTCCACTGGACTACTCATTTCTGGTGCTCATTAAAACCGGTTTCTGACCATGGGTTGGTCATCTGTCCTGATGCTTCCTTCTTTGGTTCAATGTCAATTTTGTGTGATTATGGTCATGGGAAGGGCTTTATATAAATGTAGTTTGTTATAAAGTTTTCCTTCTCAAGCTAAATATTTATGTGTTACTGAGAAATTAACAATGCTTATTTCTAAAAGAGCAATATATGAGAGGATTACAAGGTGTGTTCAAATAATATGGATTAGAATTTAATCTAGAGTGATTCCCTTCCCTGAAGGACACAAGTGAAGTAGTTGAATACTCTGTGCTCAGTTTTCAGGCACAGTCAGCTCTGTGAAGGGGATCTGGTAGTTGGGCAGCTCTGATTTCTGTTCAGAGAGGGAACTGGAGGCACACTTTCTTTTTTCTGAAAAATGTAGACTGAAGACCATGTATTTGTCCTCTACCTTCAAGATCATACCTGCCTTCCTTAATCAGAAAATGAACATGTTCTCTGGCTACTAATTTGCTAATTAAGGAATAACGACTGGCGGGTGACTGTTCCCCACACAGGGTTGGGACTTCTATTTGATTCTGACTCGTGAAAGATCAATAAAATAATTTCTAAGAAAAAAAAGTCACTTTACCAAATATTGTCAGTCAGATGGGTCAGACCAGAGTATTCTGAACCAATTCTAACAAGTCATAATATTAAAGTTAGAAATATTGCAGATATTAATCCAGAATTGAGTTGCCACATAAAATACTGATTAGCAAGAACTGAAATATGTTCTTGCAAATCACCACATAAATCATAAATATGTACAGTAGATATATTAGTAATCGATTATTTGATCAAATTTGTTCCGTTTTTTTTTAAAAAACATTTTATCACATCTCGTTTTGATACAATAAATAATCTTATAATCTCGTCAGACCCAGAGGTGCAACTAATATTTTCAACCCTGCTTCTCAAAACTAGAACTTTAATTAATTTTGCTAACACTTCCAAGTTAAATCAGACATAGCTGAGCAATGAGATCGTACTTTATCTTTTCGTTTCCAAACATGCAATGAAGTTCATCTTGATCATGTAATGTTGGATCTTGCTCCTCTTACTTTAACCTTAGCCTCTGATAAATGTTGCCTTTCATCATACTTCCTTCTATAAAATCTGTTTAAGATTGTGCTTGTCTGATATCAAATTAAGGAAGGTTTTAGCATAAATTTGTATAAACCAGGACTGCTAAAATTCCTTTCCAATCTTAATCATGATTAGAATGAAATGCTTTGTGCAGTACTAATGTTCTGATTACTGACTAGCACTGAATTTTGCCTGAACCTTTATTTAACCCAAATTCAATAACTTGTTCCCAGAATGCCACAAAGGAGAGTGTACACATTTAATTCCACAAAAAGCTAACACTAACGCAAACAGAGAGTTAGCAATCCTCCTAACAAGCCAGAGCGATACTGAATCATATATATCAGGATGATCTTAGCATGGGCAATGATGAGGCTCCATAATTAACCTCTGGTGATTTCAGGATGAAGGGGAAGAGAAGATCAGGCATGTTTTCTGCTTCTGATTGGTATTCAGTAATCCATGCTGAAAAGTGCACTATGATCTGCTCCAAAGCCTATGAGGCACCCAACAACTAGTGCTCAAGCTGAAGAGAACAAGACGCCAGTCTGAAACTTTTACAGAAACACTTGTTGGACGTACGATCTTTTATGTTAATATATAAAACTAATACATTTCAAAAGCTTTAAAACTAAAGTTGGCACATGGTACCACTGCATGAGTAATGAGAGAATCCAGTTATAGAAAAATCAACATTTTATCATATCAACAGATAAAGCAAAAACTGAGAAATAATAATTTACAGTCTATACAGACAAATGAGAAATACTTTAATTTATGGATAGCACAGAAGTAAACATGACTTTGATCCACTCAGTACTTGGATGTATCCTTGGCACTCTTCAAATTCAATTCAAGGCACTGAATGAAAAGACATAAATTTAACTACACAGGTATACATTAGGTTCTGTTGGCTCTGTTCTATGTATTTATCTACAAAAGTAGTCATTCAAGCAGAGTTAAAAAAGAACACAAGTCATTGTCAGTTAACTGGTTCATGAGCTGCTTGGCCTGGTGAGGGCATGTGGAAAGATGAGACAGAAGATCGAAACAAACCGGGTTCAGAGATAAGATGAAGTAAAACACCAACACTACCAGCTGAATGAACAGCCTCAATCGTTGTGACTGGTCCATGATCTCTGTGCTCTTGTCATGTAGGTGTGTGTGAAACAGGGAAGAAAGGATTTAATCAACTGGCTGCTGGTGGCAAGAAGAAGCCATGGTTTACTATCTCTGCTGCCCAGAATAAGACAGTGATTGTTTTGGGAGAGGGAAATGACAACACTTGATGTGATCAAGCCATATTTGGTCACAAACGCCAAAGAAACGCAAAGTTTTGAAAATTAAGAAGATAAATAAATAAAACTGGGTCAGAAAGAGCAACACATGAGAAAGGTCTTCAACTAAGATGCAAACTTGTGGAAAAAATGGAAATCAGTCTACAAACTGGCCCTTTTTTTTGGTTAGTGAATGTTCAAAATATGACTTTTGGGTTTTACACATTTCAAAAGGTTTATTTGGACAGGGAAGGTACTAGTTTGGAGGGGTACAGAACCCTTCCGATAGGTCCAGTGACTCTTCTGGAAGAGGTAAGGTGTTCCTTAGGAATGCTTTGGATTGTTAAATGTAGAGGTGGAGGCATGTAAAAATTTGATAAACTCTTTGTAATTATTAAGCATATTAAAACTGTTAAGATGTCAAGCCATTCAAGTGTCTGCCTTTTAACTAAAAATAAGTTCCGAGTTTAAAGTGCTTGCTATTTCACTCTGCCTATTGATACAACCCTGAAAACAATAATTATTGAATCAGTGCTCCATGACTGAATCAAAACCTATCATTATCAAATTGGGATACATGTGTGTTCATGGTTTGATTAACAGTTTCAGGTGGGTATATAGTCTTTGATGTGGAGCTATGAATACCCTACTAGCATTTATGAGGGATTAAGTCATTTGAGTAATTTCAATATCGTGAATGGGCTTTCAATCAATGAGTTTTTTTTCAAACTGTAAAGGCATTAATGTGCATTTAGACCTTTGTTGTGTTTAATCTCAGCACGGCTCTTAAGGCCTTTCCATGGTGGATACTGGATAAATTGGCATCGAGGGATATTAAGAGGAAATGATGTGTGCGTGGGGGGGTCATGAGTTGGCATTGGAGCAATAAAGGCCCATGTTGGCAAGGGCTAGAAGGCTGTCTTTGTTTCCTTTTTTAAAGAGCTGAGACAACTTGCCAGAACACCAAGCTAGGCCATTCACACAACAGCCTTGGCACGGTCAGTCCCTGTGGATGCCTCTGCACGGTTTCTTGCATTGATGGATTTGACGCCCATGAATACATGCCTACATCAGCAACAAAAATCAGCCCACCTGGGGTGTTAATGCCAAGGTCTGAGTTGCACCTGACTCAGGAACAAAAATTCAATCCCAAGAGAGGCATAAAAACTCTTCAGCTTCTAGATACATAAAAATGGTCTTTTCATTTTGTATAGAATTGTATGATGCTAAGAGCATCATGGCATATTAGTGGACAGGTATAATAATAGATATTCTGCAGCCAAGGTCTGCTGGGACTTGCTTCATTCTTAGAGGTCACTGAGCATTTTTTCCATAGCTTTTCCTGAATTTGGCACAGCGTTTCATTCCTTTCTTCTTTCTGGTAGGAATTTCCAGTAGGTAATTGGGACGACAGTATTGGAGGATGAGCACTGATGAGCTTCATTGTTCCTTCTCTTCATATGTTCATAGACCAGTTCTCAAATAGCATGACAAAACTGACTGGACACTGGACAATTAGTAGGACCATTACTAACATATACTGGTGTTCAATTACACAGTTTAGTCGAAGTCAAAGTCAGCATTCTTGTATGTTTCCAAAACTTAATGAATGAGTTCTCTGAATGAGTAAGTAGGCTGTACGTTTAAAGTGGACAACATGCACTCTATTAACCCACAAAGTTAACAATAATACCATATTTGTTTCAATGTCATTGTATATGAATCTTTGGGAGAGTGTCACTCATCATTACGACACTGTGAAAGAAGTAAAGAAATACAGAATAAAAGAGGAGAAGATACATAACTGAGCCAGAAGATGAGACTGGAAGTTCTCATCACTTCAAAAAACTAAATTTTTTACGTGAAAAGCAGCCGAGACTTACCAGGAGACGATATTAAACTAATTTATTGTAGTTAGGGTAAAGCTTCTTCACTGCTGTCTCAAAACTGTCCTCTGGAGAAGAACAAAATGAAGACATAAATGTTGTTTATCCTGAAATTGACAACATTCAATGAAATGCTGGTGCAATTTATACAGAATACATTTCTGCCCGTGATGAATGAATTAAAAAAAAACAGTATTGTTGCTCAAATGTGCTCCAGTTATGCATTTTCAAGAATGTGTGTGCGTGTGTTTTTGGGGGGCGGGGGAGGGGGGGAGGGTGGTGAAGAGCAGGGCACAGAGGCAATATGGAAGAATACTAAAGCTATTACTAAAATAGAACCTCAGTTGTGCTGGTGTATAATTCAGTATTTAGACGTTTGGAATCAACAAAACCCCAATCTTCACAAATAAACGCGGAAATAACACATACATTCCATCACAGTAAAATCCGTCACATATCAAGAACATGCCAGTAAACCAAGAATGTCAACTGATGGAAGTAATAATAACTTTGATATTAACCATGTACTATTCAATCATTTGAATCCTGTCAGTAATTAATCGGCCCAGGGAACGACACGAGGGCAAAAATATTTTCTTGTTGGGTATGGGAGGATGGAGGTGCAGTGATGGCTTCCCTACTCCAAATCTGGAAATGGAAATGTCAATGGCCATCTTGCAGGCCCAGAAGAAGTCTGCCTTATATGGTGCGCCATGGAGGGGCTAAACTGATACAGAGTATAACTTTCACCCCTCAGTGGAAGCAAGTCTCACCCTCTGAGGTTGCTAGCAACTTGATTGTTCAGCAGGTCTGGCAGTGGACAATTTGGTGAAACAGACTGAAACCTGCTTCAAGACGGTCCAATGAAACCCCAAATGTGGCATTGGGCGGAGGTTCTAAGGTCCATGTGGAGAGGGAGGGCAGATACTATCTTCTTGGGTGGGAGTTAGTTCGGTGTCCCAGTGCATGTAGATCAGCTTCAGACGATATTCTCCATCATTCTCTGCACTTTAAAAATTTGTCAAAGAACATGGCATGATGTTCCTGTTAGAGTGAAGGGTAAGGCTGGTAAGATTAAGGAACCATGGATGAATAAAGATATTGAGGTTCTGGTCAAGAATAAAAGAGAATATTATTTTAGATGTAGACAACTTGTTCAATTCAATCTCTTAATCAATATAAAGTGTATAGGACATTCTTAAGAGAGAAATCAGGAAGGCAAGGAAGGGATATGAGATAGCATTGACAGATAAGGTTAAGGGTAATCCAAAGAGATTCTACAAACACATTAAAAGCAAGGGGGTAACTAGAGAGAGGGTAGGGCCTCTTAAAGAACAAGAAAGTGTCTTTGTGTGAACCCCAGGAGATGGGAGAGATATTAAATGAATATTTCGAGTCAGTTTTTACTGTGGAGAAAGAAAGAGTTGAGAGAACGCAGAGAAATAAACTTTGATGTTTTAGAAACAGTTCACATTACAGAAGAGGGCATTTGGGAGGTCTTAAGAGAATATAAAGGAGGATGAACCTCCAGGACATAATCTAATGTATCCCAGAACATTGTGGGAACTAAAGGGAGGAAATTACAAGACCCCTTGCAGAAATATTTGCATCATCTATAACTACGGGTGAGGTGCCTGATGACCACAGGATGGCTAATGTTGTACCTTAGTTTAAGAAAGGTCGTAAGGAGAAACTGGGGAAATACAGAACTGTGAGTTTGACTTTGGTTGTGGGTAAATCGTTGGAAGTGATTATAAAAGATACGATTTATGGACATTTAGAGAGGAAAAAATTGATTAGAGATAGTCAGCATAGTTTTGTGCGAAGAAAAGCATGTCTCACAAATTTGATTGAGTTTTTTGAGCAAGTTTCCAAAAAAAATTGATGATGGCAGAGCAACACATATTGTTACACACACAACACACACAAACGAAGCTGCGTGCGAACACTATTTAAAAAGGCAACAACACACTGCAGCGACAAAGAACTACACCAAGAGGAGCAGGAATACTTCTTACAAGTGTTCAAGGATAATGGATATCCAAAGAACTGGGTCAGGAGATGCCTACGGGAACAGCATCAGAAAGATTCTACACGCCCCGACATACTCATCAGACTGCCCTACATCAGGAACATGTCAGAATTCACCACAAGACTTCTACGACCGTTGGGAATCAGAGTGGCACACAAACCCACATCAACCCTATGACAATTGCTCACCCGAACTAAAGACCCACTCCCCACCATGGACAGGACCAATGTCATCTACAAGATCCCCTGCAGAGACTGCAAGAAACACTACATCGGACAAACAGGAAGGAAACTAACAACAAGAGTACATGAACACCAACTGGTTACAAAAAGACACGACCAATACTCACTCATCACAATCCACATGGACAAGGAGAACCACGACTTCGACTGGGACAACACCAAGATCCTGGGACAGGGTAGGCAGAGACAAGCACGAAAATTCCTGGAGGAATGGCACTCCACGAAGCATGCTATTAATAAACTCATTGAACTCGACCCTGTATACATTCCACTACGGAGGAAACCAGGAAGAGAGGCAATCCATTGCAACGGACCCCAGAGTTTAAAAACCAGGCGGGAAAACACACCGACGCTTCATCAGAGCTGCACTGGAGGATGTTACCAAGCACGGTAACGAAACGTCTGCGGAACAAACCAGTTCAGCGAGCCAACCAACCTCAACACCCACAACCCAAGCTACAGATCTACTCCAAAACCTTAGAGACATTGTTACTTTGGATTTTAGTAAAGCCTTTGATAAAGTTCTGCATGGTAGACTTATTAGTAAGGTTAGGTCGCATGGGATTCAGGGTGAGCTTGCCAATTGGATACGTAATCGGCTAACTGCAGCAGATAGAAAGTAATGGTGGAAGGTTGCTTTTCAGACTGGAGGCCTGTGACCAGCATTGTTCCACAGGGATTGGTTCTGTGTCTCTTTAGTTTGTCATTTATATAAATGATTTGGATGAGAATATAGATGGTATGGTTAGTAAGTTTGCAGACGACACCAAAATTGGTGGCACAGCAGACAGTAAAGAAGGTTTTCTAAGATTACGAAGAGATTGTGATCAAATGGGTCAATGGGCTGAAAAGTGGCAGATGGAGTTCAATCTGGGTAAATGTGAGTTATTGCATTTTGGTCCTTCAAATCAGGGTAGGGCTTATACAATTAATGATAGTACTTTTGAGTAGTGTTAGGGGTGCAGGTACATAATTCTTTGACGTTTGCGTCACATATAGACAGGGTGGTTTAAAAGTTGTTTGGCATGCTTGCCTTCATTGCTCAGTCCTTTGAGTATAGGAGTTGGAAAGTCATGTTGAGGTTGTACAGGACTTTGGTGAAGCCTCTTCTGGAATACTGTGTCCAGTTCTGGTCGCCCAGGTATGGGAAGGATATTATCTAGCACGAGATGGTTCAGAAGAGATTCACCAGAATGTTCCTGGGTATGGAAGGTTTGAGTTATAAAGAAAGGCTAGATAGGCTAGGACATTTTTCACTGGAGCATAGGAGGTTGAGAGTTGACCTGATAGAAGTTTATAAAATAATGAGAGGTATAGTTAGAGCTGATGGTAGTAGTCTTTTTCCTAGGATTGGAGATTTCAACACTATGGGGCACATTTTTAACGTGAGAGGTAAGAGATTTTTTAAAAAATGAGACAAATTTTGTACAGAGCAGGTGATTTGCGTGTGGAATGAACTTCCTGAGAAAGTGGTGGACGCGGGTATGTTTAGAACGTTTAAAAGACGTATTTCTGCATATGTGAATAGGAAATGTTTGGAGGGATATGGGCCAGGAGAAGGCAGGTGGGACTAGTTTAGTTTGCGTTATGTTTGGCATGGACTGGTTGGACCAAAGGGTCTGTTTCCATGCTGCATGACTCTATGAACAACAACCTTACCATTTTCGCATGGCCACCCACACCATTGTGGCCCAGGAAGCATAACATTTCAATAGGATGGTCAGGCTGCCAGTTTCAGAGCCTACTCAGTGCCTGATTAATGAGAATGGGTTAGGCTTCCGTCCTATTTTGTCTGCATCCCTAACTCTCCATACTCCTGAAAATACACCCACCGGAGGGGTAGAAAATCTAGCTCTTGGCCTTGGAAATTAAAAGCATAGCTGAATGAATACTGCAAAAGCAAGTGATCATATAGAACAAGCATCAATTGCTTTTAGCTGTGCTGTTATTTAACCTCACAATAACCTGTCGAGGGTTGTCTTGCTGTTATGAGTGTGCTTGGTTACTGTTCATTATTGGTATAGTCTCCTGGTGGCTAGGTGCTTATGCTTATTGGGGTTGATGTTGGAAATACTATGCCAAGTGCAACATTTCAGCTTCAATGGAGCTAGATAACGGAAATTTTATTGTATGTCGAGTACAGCACTCTGGATTTCTTTTACTATTGGTAAAATTTTCTTCATATTTTTAAGTTGAAGCAACTATATGATGAATTATTATAATATCATGAAGACATGGCCAGTTTATTTTAGTCTCTTTCTAAACCTTATATTTACAAACTGCACAATAATGCAGAAGTACAATGTTATTTAAAATCACACCTTCATCATCACTGCTTTGGTAACCTGGCCTGTTCTTGTAACAGAAGAAAGTTGGTGGAAGAAACAGTTCTAAGGCAAGAGCCCTCTGCTCTGGAGTTGGTGTGACCTCACTCAGCATCACCACATCATTTCCATCTTCTTCCTGTTCTTCGATCCCTGTAAAAGCAAGCAGAAAATGTGTTATAAAAAAATCTAAAGGAAAAGTGCTGGAGAAATACTCAGCAGGTCAGGCAGCATCTTGGTGACAGAAACATTAATGGTTCATGCTGATGAACATTTTAGCAAAGTTCATCAACTAGAAATGCTGGAGGCATTAAGGATCAGGCTAACTTCCTGGAAGCGGCCTCCCAGTGGCATTGTAACCCACGCTGCCTACTTCAGCTGCAGTCACAGGCCACTTTGTTGAGAGGTTCCATGGCAGTTTGTTGGCCCAATGCTGAGGCTATTTTTAAAGTTGAAGTTGTTGAAGATGGAGACTTTTTACCTACAAAGAACCGTCTGCTGCTGCTTCTTCATTACTGCATGGCCCCCTATTTCCTAGTGGCACAACAGCTTTGAAAATCCATTTATTGTCCTTAATTGGGTAGTGAGCCTGGCCTCTGGCTATTAACTGGCCAATTCAAGGAGAATAACTAGTTGGTGACTATTCCCTCCACACTGCAGGCTTCTCACCCTTAATTGACTACGATGGCAGGGATGTGAAAACAAAATGGCAAATTAACTTAGATAACAAGGTGTAGAGCTGGATGAACATAGCAGGCCAAGCAGCACCATAGGAGCAGGAAGGCTGACGTTTCAGGCTTAGACCCTTCTTCAGAAATGGGGGAGGGGAAGGGGGTTCTGAAATAAATAGGGAGAGGGGGGAAGCGGATAGAAGATGGATAGAGGAGTGCAGTGGGAGAGAGATCCCCTGAGGTTTGTCCGGAGGGAGGAGGGTAACTTCTTCAGGCTAGGCATCCTTAGAAGAGGCTTCGCAGTGGGGTTAAAATTGTATCAGAGATAGTAGGAACTGCAGATGCTGGAGGATCCTCCAGCATCTGCAGTTCCTACTATCTCTGATACAATTTTAACCCCACTGCGAAGCCTCTTCTAAGGATGCCTAGCCTGAAGAAGTTACCCTCCTCCCTCCGGACAAACCTCAGGGGATCTCTCTCCCACTGCACTCCTCTATCCATCTTCTATCCGCCTCCCCCTCTCTCCCTATTTATTTCAGAAACCCCTTCCCCTCCCCCATTTTTGAAGAAGGGTCTAAGCCCGAAACGTCAGCCTTCCTGCTCCCATGATGCTGCTTGGCCTGCTGTGTTCATCCAGCTCTACACCTTGTTATCTCAGATCCTCCAGCATCTGCAGTTCCTACTATCTCTGGCAAATTAACTTGGCTTCTCTCTGCACAGATGATCTCTGGCCTGTTGAGTATTTCCAGCACTTTCTGTTATTTAAATTTTTCCTGTCTCTCGAGCATTTTGTTTTTGTCACAAAATCCAAAATTAACTCCAATCCTGTCTAGATACAGGATGTGTTCTCATGAAATGTCACTGGACTCAAAACATTAACCCTACTTTCTTCCCACAGATGCTGCCAGACCTGCTGAGTTTTGGCAGTAATATCAATTTTGTTTCAGATCTCCAGCAATATGCAGTCCTTTGTTTTATTATAGAGGATGACAGTAACAGCACTCAGACAGTTTCAAGAAACCATGGCTAGACTTAAAAAGAAAAGTGTTTGCACAGATCAAACTAGGATGGTAGAATAGAAAATTAATTTCAAAGTTATGACAGGACATATCTGTAGGAGTTCCTCAGGGTAGGGTCCTAGGTCCAACAATCTTCAGCTGCTTCATCAATGACTATTCCCCCATCATAAGGTCAGTAGTTGAAATATTCACTGATGACTGCACAATGTTGAACAACATTGGTGACTCTTCAAATACTTGAAGTAGTCTATATACAACTGCAACAAGGCGTGGACAATATCCAGGTTTGGGCTGACGAGTAACATTCGTGCCACACAAGTGTCAGGGGATGAACATTTCAACAAGACAGAATTTAATCATAGCCTTTGACATTCAATGCATTACTATTGCTGAATCCTCCACTATCAATATTCTGGGGTACACCATTGACCAGAAACTAAATAGAGCTTGTTACAAAAGCAGGTCACAGGTAAAGAATCCTCACATCCAACTCCCCGAAGCCTGCTAACCATCTAAAAGGCACAAGTCAGGAGTGTGATGGAATACTTCCCACTTGCCTGGATGAGTGCAGCTTCAGCAACACTCAAGAGGTTTGACAGCATTCAGGACGCAACAGCCCACTTGACTAGCACCACATCCACTCCCTCTGCTATTGACGCACAATAGTTGCAAATGCATTACTAGATGCACTGCAGAAATTCACCAATCCTTCTAAAACAGCACCTTCCAAACCCAAGATCACTACCACCTAGAAGGACAAGCAGCAGCTATATGGAAACACCAACACCTGCAAGTTCTCCTCCATGCCATTCAGCATCCTAACTTGGAAATATATTGCTGTTCCTTCAGTGTCGCTGGATCAAAATTCTGCGACTCTATCCCTTATAGCATTGTGCGGGTACTGACGCCAAATGGATTGCAGTGGTTCAAGAAGGTAGCTCATTCACTCCTTTTCAAGGACAACCAGGGATGGGCAATAAATGCTGGCCCAACCAGCTATGATTACATCCCATTAATGAAAAGAAAATGAAGTGCAATCATTAAGTGCCTCACATAAGGCACAGCCCATTTACTTTAACACTATGGAATAAATGGAATCAGCTCCAGCCACCATATATTTTAACCAACTGAATCATAAAGACGATTTTAGCAGTAACTTTTATTGAAGCAGATGAAGGTGTGCCATCAACTGTAACATACCATATTAACTGTCTTCTCAAGCGAAAGCCAATGTAAGCAGTCTACGGTATCATTTCCTCAGATGAATCCCGCAAAACATCAATGCAATTTTTAATTATTCTTTTGGATTGTAAGTTTTTTTTGTGATTGACTAAGATGAAAGTCATCCATCAAAAGAAAAAAATACTGAGTGAGATTAGAATCAACACTTCACAGTCAAACTGTCTGTTGATACATTCTGTGGAGGCAGTGGTCCAAGGATAATATGCCATAAGATGACAAAATTCTTTGGAACTGCTTTCCAGTGTGGAGTCCAGTGCAGGATGAAGTAGTAAGGACAGAAAAGTAATGGGAAAAATTTTTTTTTTAAAAAAAGGTTTTTTTACGTTTGATCCCAAAAACTATCAGAACTCCAAATATTTAGGCTGTTACAAATTCTAGATTAAACAATTATTTAAAAAAAAAAACAAAGATGACTTGTATAGCTGCTTAAAAACAATGGATGTCTACAGCTGTTAAAAACACTACTAATGTGGACAGACATTTCACTAACTTTTTTTTTAAACTGAAACATATATAAGCAGTTTGTTTGAGCAGCTGTTTGCAGATAAATACTATGCAGTGTAGAAAGATTCATAACAAAAGTAAAATCAAGAGATTTACCTCGTAGAAACCTTCCTTCTTTTTCCAATTCAGATGCACTAACAAGTGAAGTAGGACCATCATTTCCATTTTGATCATTCTTTTTAATTTCTACAGAACCGCACAAACGTTTTTCTGTTAACCGAGTGATCTCAGTTGAGCTCTGCACTCTCTCAATGACTTGTCTGAACATCTGAGCCCTTTCTTTTAGTTTAAAGTGTACGGCAAACTCTAAAAGGACCTGCTTATTCTCTGAATAATCCAGTGCATGCCAAGTCCAGATATGATTACTGGTTTTCGCATGCTTCAGTTCCAAGTCTCTTGTGATCCAGTGATTGGCGCAGCATTTATTAGTGGCGTTCCACATTACGAATCTTGACAATTTTGTTATTTTATGTTCTAAAATTCTGATTTCTCCAAATGCTCGCTCCTTCCACTGTAAGGACGTCCGTTCAAAGCAGTACAGCTTTCCTCTGTTAGAAAAGAGAACATTTTCTGCATCTAGGATGGCAGCTGGATGATTAACTGGTGGAGGGGATGGTAATATTGGTTTGTGTGCAGCTTTACAATCACCCTCATTCTTCTCTTGCTGTCCTGTAGAATTTGTTAGATTATTTGCACCCAGTGTGAATTGGAAATCACTACCTGCACCAAATTTAAATATTGGGCAAAAGACTGGAGAAGCAGCAGTGAAAAGCGAGAAATCTGTTGCTGTTGTCTGGTTATCTTCTTGTGCATTATCATTATTAGCTTCTGCAAAACTACTAGCATTAGATGCAACAGGTTGTGGAATACATGCAGAATCTCCTGTGTGTGACAAATTTAGTGTTTCAATATTTGTCCATCTCGTTCTACTAAGAGAAGTGCTCTCTTTAGCAGTTAAGCTATCTGGATGTTCTATCTCACTGGCAACTGCAGAACTCTGGTGATTATTGGAATGACCTTGGTTTTCAGAAACAGTGCAACCTTGATCACTGAAAATTAGAGGTTTTTTGCCTTCTTCATCTATATCACTATTACATCTCTCCGAAGGATTTTCAAGGGTAGATGTTGCATTACTAAGTTGCAAGAGAGGAACTGTGATTTTCCCAATTACCAATTGTTGCATACATTTAGGCACTTCAAATGTTTTTGTTTTGCAGGTTTTGAAAGCATCATCAACGAATGCAACTTGAGTTTGTTGCTGACTGACTGAAGGGAGCACTCTGTTGAAACCTACTGCAAAATCCACACAGCCAGAGCTAGCAGATTCGATCCTGTGAAATATTTCTGGTTGAGAAGTTAATGTTTCAGCCAGCAAAGTTTCTTTCAGTTTGTGGGTTTCAACGCCATTATCAGTTGACATTTTATCAGAACTCTGCTGATTTACTACTAGTGATGGATCCTCACAATTCAAACTAAATGAATGTGCTCCATTAAGTGTAGATGATTCAGCATATATTGATACCTCTGATGTTTGTATTTCATTCACTTTGACATCAGCTGCCCTAACAGTGCTCTCCTGCTGACTGACTGTTGGTGTGCAACCTCGATTAAAATTGGTTGTAAATGTTACAGCATTAGAGCCAATTGAATTTGCCCTGGAGCAAACTGAAGACATTTCAGCAAAACTAGCAAAAAGATGCAATGGCTTTATGCTGTTTTGAGTTGGCAGAACGTTTTGTGTTGGCAGAACGTTTTGTGCAACTGGAATTGACAACGACGAGGAATTACAGGAGGTTGAAACAAATGATGTTGAAGCAAGCAAAGATGAAGCAGACACAACAGTACCTGGATTTTCTAACTTAAAATCGAAGCTTGGTGAATTTGACCTGCTTACAGTCGACAGAAATGGCTTTTCATTCAAATTTGGAACATCGTTCACGGACACTTGGGTAAGTGCGAAGAGGTCAGGTACATCTCTTGCAATGACTGGAGGCGTGATCGGAGTTAAACCTTTAGAGTTTCTTAAAGCAACTGGTTCAGCATTTATTGACAATCCTGAGGTTGACAGTTCCTTCACAATGGTAATACTGTCTAACGTTGCAGTGCTCTGCTGCTGAGTGATTGTGGAAGTGGGTTCTTGACTGAAGACAGGTGGAAAAACCACAGAATCAGAACCAATTGAATTGGTCCAGGAGAAAACAGAGGATTTTTCAGCAGAACTAGCAACATGTTTCAAAGGCATAACACTGCTTTGAGGTGTCACAAGGCTTTGTTCATACAGTGCTGGGCTTGAAATTGAGGAACCTGATGATGGTGAAGTGAATAAAGATGAAGCTGACGTGATAATACTAGAATCTGCTAATTTAAAATCAAAACTTGGTGTAGTAGATCTGCTAGTAGTTGACAAAGGTTGCTTTTGATAAAAAGTTGGAACATCACTTCTGGGTACTTGTGAAAATTTAAAGGGGCTAGTTACATCTCTTCCAACAGATGAACCTGAGAGACAAGCTAAATTTTCTGGGTTTCTTAAAGATTCACTTGATTTGGTTGTTGATGTTATACTGGGATAAATTTTGAATGAAAAACCCAATGTTCCAGTTCCAGAGTTGAGAAAGGAAAATGATGCCGCTGGCTTGACTGGATCACTCAAGGGTCCTGAAGTACCAAACAAATTAGGTTTTGGTGAGTTTTCTTGTGAACACTGTTCTTTCCCTTTCCCAAAGTGAAAAGAGGATGATGTTCCAACTGAATCCAAAAGCACTTTACTAATGCAAGTGGATGATGTGTTGCAGCTTGTCTGGCCATTTTGATGCTTCGTATGTTTACCAGTTGACTCACATGCAGTTTTACTGTGAAACACAGAAGTTGAACTACTGATTGAATTACTTGTAGCAGAGCATGAATTAAGCTTCTCAAATGTGAAGCTTGTTGATACTGGCAGTGCTTGCTGATCCCCTGATTTGTTGGCTAAGGTATTTCCAAACATAAAGCCACCGAATGATGGTGAACTTCCAGAGGTGACTGTGGGGTTAAGGAATCTTATACCAGCTTTTGAAATACTGGATTTTTTTTGTTTAGATGCCAAGCTGGAGCACTTAGACACAGTAAAACCAAGAGCACTGGAGGTAAATGGCTTTTGCTGACATTCGTCTGTTTTGTCAGAGCTCATCACTGTTGTACATGAACTCAAAGTAACTGGAAGAGATGCTGTTACCGCTGCTGTTGGCAGACTTTCGACAGTGCTTGTGATGTTTGAGATAGTTTCAGATTGAACTGATGAAGGAGGAACAGGGTCGTGTTTTTGCTTTATATCTCCCACATCAAACAATTTTTCAAAACCACTGGGTAACGACATCTCCGAGTTTGAAACTGATCGGATACTTGTAGCGGATCTTGAATTAGGAGGCAAAGGCACATATTGATTGCCAAGGAATTTCTTTTTTACTTTTTTAGACGACTGACCAAAACTGAATAATTTAACATGAGGCTTCTGTACTCCATCAGGTGTTTTGCGCAGCTCTGTAGAAACTGAAGACACTGAAGGCTCTAGACCATTTTCACTATCAGAATATTCTTCAGTCACAAAGCAGTTCCAGTCTTTTCTGCAGGATTGATAGTGTTTGTAACGCAGTTCCTAAAACACCACCAGAAAAAAAAATTGTCATCTTGCTTTTGAATGCAAAGCTATTTTATTCAACCATTTCCTGTGACAACTAGCAGCATCTTCTAGCCATGATGAGTGAAAAAAATTCTCTTACTTAAAAAAAAAAATCAACAGAGAAAGAAATTATGTTGGACATACAAGTGCTAGCTTTGGATTCTCCCATAAACGGAAACACTTTCTCAGCATCTACCCTGTCTAATCCATACAAAATTCCAAAGACTTCTATCATATGGTCATCTCCAATTTTCTCTTTTCTATTGTTCCTGATTGCTGTAATTTCACAATACTGGTAACATTGTTGTTCTGTGCTGACTTTAATGCTTCTATGGCTTTCTTTTATAATGAAGATCAGAATTGTGCACTTTGCTCTTAAGTTTGGCCTGCAGAGACCTGTAAGAATTATTCACATAATTTTACTACTTCAGAACACTATACCACTACAAAGAAACCCAATGCTCAGTTTGCATTTTTAAAGAATTTGCAAAATGAGGGAAGAAGTTATAAAGTGTGTTTACGACAAATTTCTTAATGAGCATATTTTTGGTTAAACAAATATGAATCTTGTTTTGGGGAATGAAGTGGGTCAACTGGATCAAATGTCTTATAGGGGATCAACTAAATGAAGAAAGACATAGAGACAAAGGGTTTTTTAATTTATTCATGGGCTGAGGGTGTCGCTGGCTAGGCCAGCATTTATTGCCCATCCCTAATTCCCCAGAGGGCAGTTAAGAATTCTTAGACTTTTAATTATTATTAAACTTTTAATTCCAGATTCCTATTGAATTCAAATTCCACCATCTGCCATGGTGGAATTTGAACCCAGATCCCCAGAACATTACCTGGGTCTCTGGATTAATAGTCTAGCGATAACAATACTAGGTCATCGCCTACCCAAAGGCAGTGTGCTTTTCAGCCTTTTCTTCCCCAAATCATACTCCCTTATCTTGTTATGAGGTTATCACGCAGTACCTGATTGAAGGTCTTACTGAAGTCCAAGTATATGACATCAACTGCATTACTTGTCTACTCTTTCCATTAATTCTTCAAAGAGTTCTGTTGTTTCAACAGAATCTTTAACCAATCGGAATCCATGCTAATCTTTTAAAATGACATTTTCTGCCGCTGGTTGCTTTCGGAATTAGTTGATTTTAAATCGTGTTTGAATTTTTCCTGTGTGCCAATTGCGGTTATGTTTTCTAGCTTAAAACTGTGATGATAACAGTAACTACTTCCCCACAGAAAAACCTCCCAAATTATGTTGGAGGAGTACAAAATTCAAAGCATTTTGAGGTCAGAGATGCAGAGATGCAGGAAGAGAAGTTAAGTGACTAGGCAACTGAAAGCACAACCACAACAGCCAATGACTAGCTCTGATTTATACTTGAAAACAACATAATTAGCCAAGAAACACTTTAAAATGTCCTAAGAACATGAAACTGTTATATAAATGTATTTCATTATTTATTTCTTAATTTTATAACTAATCTAACTTCTATACCTTATGATAACAAAGTTTCTGGTTTGCAGAGGACAAGTTACTTACAGGAAATGGTGTTAGGTGGTTGTTGGAAACGTTCCTTCTGTAGAAATCCTAACAGTGACAGCTAAATGAACGATGTAAAAATCCAAACTGTACTAACATACCTCTAGACTTATGTACTGATAGTCTTCTTTTGCAGAAATACACCAAAGATAGTCATGACAGCCATATTCAATAATAGTTTCTGGCTGCAAAAGAGATTTGTTTAATTAAAAAGAAGTCTTAACACTTACTTTTAAAATCGGTACTTTGCATTATAAAATATCATTTGCAAATGTAATCCTGGTTACGTACATAAGAATGCCAAACTGTTAAAATTAACTTACAGTAAACTTTGGTTCTATAAAATCCTTGGGCTGCTTCCACATTTTTAAGGTAGTTTTAAATTGGTAGCCATCTGTGCGTAGTTCACTTGTAGTATTGTCAGTATCTATGGGAAATAAAATCAACAGATATAATCTATATTATTCCTGCCATTCAATGGCAACTCACTTTCAGACAAACATATACGGTAATGTACTACTATGATGTAATATTGATTACATCTGTTGCATTATTTTTAACTAATAATATTTTTCGCTACAGACTTTCTAGGTACAAAACCCTATTTGAAAATGTAACCCATATATTCACAATAAAGTTAAAGGAAACCAATTTAGTAAGTATATTTCTTCAAGTACAAATTCAACCCATTATTCACTCTGAGCTTCCTCAATAGCTGGAGAGAATTTCAAGCTCCCACCAAATGCATCTAACTCCAACTGACCATTAACTATTGAACTATGCTAACAGATTTAAGTGTGTTTTACTTTGACAGGTTTGGATTTATCAGAGGCAGCAACATAAACCATGCTGTGTGCTGTCTGCTAAAACCTGCAACTAGTCTCAACTACAAGGACTACATTGCTAATGAATCAAGGTCGTAGTTACCCACACACAATCTATATCTCTGAGTGCTTCTAGTCTGCCACAGGTTGCATATAAAACACTTGTCATTCAGCCCAGATACATCAAATAAATCACTGATGCTTTGCAATGTGACAGTAAATATACATATTATTTTGTTTATCAAAAACTGGATTTAATCTTATTTGACAAGGAAATGAAAGAATCTGAATGATCAGGGACATAATGAATGCTGCTAGTCTGAAGAGTTGCAAAGAACATGAGGCCATGGGGACAATAACCTCACAGGCTACAAGTCATTGATGCCCAGCTCAATATCATGTACTGGAGTGACAGCTCTTCATCTAAAAGCCATGATCCTTTCATTTTATGAAAATTATCTATGCCTGGGCCACTTAAATGAGAAGCTAGAGTTGAACTCCTAGGTTACAAAGGGTGCATCCTGCAGTCTTGTAATAGCAAGCTTGCAAAGCCTACAAATAAAATGGGCATGCCAACATCTTCCAGGTGATCTCAGAACCAATACTGTCAAATTGAAAAAGCATTTCAGGTGTAAAAATAGGTTATTAGAGAGAGTTAATTTGAGGCAGCATCAATGTCAGAGCAATATACTGAGATGCTGAAAGAAATGAAATCGAGAAGGAGTAAGAGACTGAAGAAAAGTTACAGAACAATGCAAATTCCAAGAGTTAAATCTTGAAAATGGTAGAATATATTTAATCAGCATTAGCAATCTTATTGAGTTGAGTGGGTCACAATGACAAACCAATGCGTCTTTATTTGTAATGTTCAGAACTAGTCCTCTGTTTTTGTGATGATGAAATAATGGAAAAATTGGGTTCAAGCTGTTCCAATCAGCACAGTCATTCAATATATCAGGCAAAGGAACAAACATCAGTTTCGAAACCACATCAGGTGCATTTTCCATTTAAGGCACTCAGTGCCAACATCACTACCTCACAGGTCGAGAATAAAATAGTTACAAGTAGCGTAAAGACCTCTTATATATTCCAAAAAGTGTCCCTCAGTCACAACTTCAGAATAGCACTTGTATAAAATTCTTCCATTTACCACGGCAACCATTTTGTGGTTTCTGTGACTGGTTATGCCAAATTTGTCCCATTTAGTCCTGAACAAAAAAAGGCGTATGCTACAGCTCTGTACTCTCTTGGTATTGAGCAGACATTGCCAATGCTTAAGACTTATGGGATGTTTACAGACAGAGAAGACTTGCATCATGTCAGCGAGGGCTGGTTTCAGGTATGAAAGACAAGACCTATTAATGTAGAATTAAGAATTAAAAACTTTTTTTTAAACTGAATGCTTACCCAAACTGGGATTTGTTGCATCTTTGGTCAACTGGAGTGCAGAGATACTATCCAACACTGGTTTTATAAGAAACTGATGTGGTTGCAGACAAGTCAATTCATCGTGCTTCTCTAAAGTAGGGAGGATGATAGCAAGGTTGCTCTTTACCCTTTAGGGAACAAAATACAAAAAACAAGATATTATAATAAACAACTGCAATATTAACTAGAAGCTAATATGGTCAGCTGATCAAATGTATTGGCAAGCTGACTTAAGGAGGACACACTATAGAAACTACCACATAACCAAACTTTGAAGTTGGGAACACTAGGTTCTCAATCTGCTGCCAAAGTTCAAGGTCTAGAACAAATCAGTTTTATTATTGCACTTTGTACATTAAAAGGAATGGGCTACTCTAAAAATATTGTATAAAAGGATAAAGAAAAGTGTACTAAAAGTGTTAAAACACTACTAGAAATGCAACTACCATCTATTAGATTTAAATTAAATTTAAAAATTAATAAGATATTCATGATATCAGCTATAGCACTGAACGTAGAAACAAAATATTTTAATAAAGGCAAAGAGGCTAATTGATCTGTCAGGTTTGAGAAGTACCTCAAGGGAATTACAACATTTCTAGATTTTTATTGATCTAAATCATACAAACATATGAACATGGAGCAAAAGTAGGTCACTCAGCCCTTTGAACCTGCTCTGCCATGCAATAAGATCATGGCTGATTTGATTTTAACCTCAATTCTACACTCCTGGATATCGTGATAATATTTCATCCTCTTGGAAATCAAGAATCTCTCTACCTCTGCATTAAAAATAAAAGATTTTGCCTTTTGAGGAAAAGAATTCCAAAGACTCTCAAACCTCAGAGGAAAATTGTTTCCTCATCTTTGTCTTAAATGGGCAATGCCTTATTTTTAATTAATGACTTTAGTTCTACATTCTCCCACAAGAGGAAACATCCTTTTAGGAGCCACCCATCTAGGTCACCTTAGGCTCTTATATGTTTCAATTGAGTCATCTTTGATTCTTCTAAACTCCAGAGAATACAGGCCTAGCCTGTCTAGTCTTTCTTCATAAGATAATCCACTCATTCCAGGTACTAGTCTGGTAAACCTTCTCTGAACTGCTTTTTACACATCAACATTCTTCCATATATGCAGTGACCAGTATTGTACACAGCATGCAGTTTCACCAATTCCCTGTATAACTGACGCATAACCTCCCTATTCTTGCATTCAATTCCTCTCACAATAAACATAACATTCTAAAAAATTTTCTAATTACTTGTTGTACCTGCATACTAACTTTGTGATTGATGCAATACTTCACCAGATTTCTCTGCATCCCAGAGTTCTGCAACCACTCACCATTTAGATAACATGCTTTTTAAAAATTCTTTCTGCCAAAATGGACAAGTTCACTTTCCCACATTGTACTCCATTTGCCAGATTTTTGCCCACTTACTTAACCTATCTATAGTCCTTTGTAGGCCCATTCACATATTCACTTACCAATTTTACTGTCATCAGCAAATTCAGCTACCATACCTTTGATCCATTCATCCAAATCATTTATATAAATTGTAAAGAGTTAAGGCCCCAGCACTGACCTCTATGGTACACCATTCATGGCGAACTCTGGAAAATGGTGGCGGAGTACGAGTCCTCAGCCGGAACTCGTCCACTCTGCCCGTTTCTTTTCTTTTCTCTTTTCATGTTTCTTTTCCCTTCTTTCTTCTTACCTACTGCCCTTGAAGTCAAAGCGGATCCACGCCTCAGCGTAGACCCCTGGTCTCAAGAACCTCAAGGCAAAGCCATGCGGACTCCCAGCCTCAAGGTGAAGCCCAGCACAGATTGAAGGCCAGGTGTTGGCGTGGACTGGGTTGGAAGGACTGTTGTTCTGAAATTGTATTTCTTTATTTTTTCTAATTTTTTTTCCCTAAGAATTTGTATTTAAGGATTGGTACCTAGGTACATTTGTACCTAAGACAGTGCTGTAAAGTGACAACTTGTAAACTTTTCACTACACTCATGTGAGTACATGTGACAATAAAGCCAATTCTAACTCTAGCCTGAAAATTTATTCCTTCTTTCTGCTTCCTGTTAGCCAGCCAAACTTTTATCCATGCCATATGTTACAGACTATGGCGTGAGCTTTTACTTTCCATAGTAACCTTTGATGTGGGACCTTGTCAAATGCCTTCTGTAAACCTAATGCAATACATCAATTGGTTCCTTTTTATTTACAGTATAACTTACTTCTTCAAAGGACTAAATCAAATACCAACAATTATCCATTTTAGAAGCGCTCATTAATACATTATTTCTATAACTATGGATAAATATTTATCAATAATTACACAGTAATAGCAAGAATTTTATTTGGATGATACTATGACAGAAAATGAGAATTTTATAAAATGATAGTGTAATGTTTCATTATAAATTTCTATTTACATGTGACAATATTATGTACCCTTTTTTTGATGGTTAAAACTTTGATTCTTAGAATATTGCTATCACACTCTTCAAAGAATTGCATTCGGTTATCACCCTAAGATGCACTAGCAACAGTTAAGTGTTGGAAGACTAGCTCAAATAGTAATAGCCAGAAATTACATGGATGCTTTTGATGTAGTAAAACACGCTAGTTGCATCCCATAAGTTATCAAAGAACAGCGAAATTGATCAAGACATGAAGGCATCAGAAGCGAGATAGATTTTAAGGTAGTAGGAACTGCAGATGCTGGAGAATCTGAGATAACAAGGTGTAGAGCTGGATGAACACAGCAGGCCAAGCAGCATCATAGGAGCAGGAAGGCTGACGTTTTGGGACTAGACCCTTCATCAGAAAACAGTGGTATCTTAGGGTTCTTCTGGTGCAATAGTAGCATTCCAATCTCTGAGCCAGGAGGCCTGGGTTCAAGTCCCACCTGCTCCAGAGATATGTCATTACATCTCTGAACTGGCCGATTAGGAAAACATTTAAAAAGAGTGGCAGCTTCTCTCGTGGTCTAATGGTTGGGATCTGGCCATTTTACCGCCAGGACCCTAGTTTGATTCCTAGTTAGGGAATGATAATTTATGAACAAAAACAGAAGTTGTTGGAAAAGCTCAGCAGGTCTGGCAGCACCTGTGAAGAAAAATCAGAGTTAGCGTTTCAGGTCTCGTGACCCTTCCCCATAACAGAATGATGATTTATATCGGGACCCTTGTCGTGCAGTGTCAGTGTCCTTACCTCTCAGCCAGGAGATCTGGGTTCAAGTCCTACCTGCTCCAGAAATATCCAAAGGAAGAGAATTCCAGAGTTTACAACCTAAATAAATGATGACGCGACTGCCAAAGGTGGAATAAAAGAAGGGAGGAGTGCACTAAAAGCCAAAAATTGAAGACTGGAGAGTTTGCGGAGGGTTGTATGACTAAAGGAATTAATAGTTATAGAGACATTCTTAATATTGAAAGAAGCTGAAATGAAAAGGCAATTAACACAGAAAAGGATCTGCAAAGCTAATGTACTGTATTTTTTTGAGTTACCTTTCATTTAAGTCACAGGCCACCTGTAAATGAAACAAGCAATGCATTAGAAACATTGGTATAATAGATTTTACAGTTATTTCTACTCCATTATTACATACGGACCTCAATCCTTCAAAATTCAGTTTTCTGGTTCTCTGATCTCTGCAGAGATCAACCTTGTAATCCGCTCATGCCTACTTCCAGAGCTGGTCTACTTCCTTGGCTCCTCCAAGACCAAAACTTAACACAGGATTCAAGGTACAACTTGGCCAGAGCACTGTACAACTCAGCACAACTGCTTCAGTCTTCAAACTGATTGATTTCGTTATTTGATTTCAGCAGTCGGTAAATATAATCAGAGCTGAATCTACTTGTACTTTAAAGTCTCTGTTTTTCTAGGTAGTTCAACATCATTCTGTTCCTTGAATTGCTTTTCAACATGTATGGAATAATACTTAGCTATGCTGAGTTTCATCTACCATGTTTCTGTTCACTTCCAATTATTTTATTTCTTCTGTAACTCCACAGCAGTTTCATCAAACTCTTTGACACCCATCCCACCATAGCCCCACAGTTTTTCCATTTTTAGTATCATCCACAAATACACAACAATTCTGAAACCAGGTAACTAAAGATCAGAGACAGAGACAATCAAGGCTGAATTAGATACATTCTTCTCAGACAAAGAAAGTCATGAGTTACGGGTGGGGGGTTCACTGGAAAGTGATCACAGCCATGATCTTATTGTATGACGGAGCAGTACAGCAGGCTCAAAAGTACTCTTGCTCTGAAGTCCAACATTCACAGGTACTTATTCTCTGTAACTTCCTCACTCTATGTATAAATCTCAAGATGCTCCTGTGCCTTTCTTGCAACTGGCCCTGCTACTTCACCAATTGCTTGAAAGGTCACCTGCCATTTGTTTGCTGACTTCAACGGAGTGCCAAAGTCCTCCTGCTGGTCTACGACTATGACTACAGCTCACCCACAACACTAGATAAAAATTTTGTGTGAATAGCCTGACTTTCATAGATTAGCAACTCAATGTAGGAAAATGGTACAGTGTTTCTAGATTTCAAGAGGAAAATCTAGCCAAGTACACATCAAGCACTTTACCCACACCACCTTCCCCACCATTCAAAGAACAAAATCAAGTTAGTCAAACGTGATTTATGTTTAACAAATTCATGCTGACTTTCATCTATTAGCCCAGATATTTCTAAATGTTAATTAATAAATATTTTAGATTATTGGCACTAAAACTTTCCAAGTTTATTGTGAGCTAGCTTGCTTTTCCACATTGCCATTTCCTTTAAACAAGTGTATAACATTTGCAATCCTCCATTCCTCCTGCATCGCCCAGATATTGGAGGAGGAGTGGAAAACCGTAACACAGCCTCTACAATTTTAAGCCTTAGAATTCCGTAGAATGCATCATGTGAACCAAATGACTTTTCCACTTTGAGAAGTCCTAGCTTTTTAAATTCATCTTTTTACTTCTGTCTGATATAATATCACTATTATCTCCAGCTTTACTGCAAAACTGGATCTACCTTTCATTCAAGGAGATGCTGGCAGAATACATACGTCGTACCTTATCTGCATTCTCTGCTCCTCAGACAGTGACACAGCACTTGCCCATGCCGACGAAGTTTCCTAAACTAGTCCCAATTGCCTGCATATGGCCCATATCCCTCTAAACCTTTCTTTTTCATGTACTTATCCAAATGTCTTTTAAATGTTGTAATTATACCTACATCTACCACTTCCTTTGGCAGTTCATTTCACATACAAGCCACCTTCTGTATGAAAAAGTTGCCTCTCATGTCTCTTTTAAATCCTTCTCCTCACTCCTTATAAATATGCCCCTTGTTTGGAACTCATCTACCCTAGGGAAAAGACCTTTGCTATTCACCTTATCTGTGCCTCTCATGATTTTATAAACCTCTATAAAGGTCATTCCTCAACTTCCTACATTCCAGTGAAAAAAGTCCCAGCTATCCATATAACTCACACTGTCCAATCCTGGCAACATCCTGGTAAATCTTTTCTGAACCTTCTCCAATTTAATAATACCCATCTAATAACTGGGTCACCAGAACTGTCCAGAGTACTCCAAAAGTGGCTCCAATGTCCTGTACAACCTCAACATGACATCCCAGCTCCTTTACTCAATGGTCTGAGCAACGAAGGCAAGCATGCTAAACACCTTCTTCACCTCCCTGGCTACCTGTGATGCAACTTTTGAAGAACTATGTACCTGAACCCCTAGGTCTCTCTATTCGGCAACATTACTCAAAGCCCTACTGTCAACTGTATTAAGTCCTGCCCTTACTTGTTTTACCAAAATGCAATATCTTGCATTTATTCAGATTAAACTCCATCCACCACTACTTAGCCAATTGGCCCAATTGATCAATATCCCTTTCTCATCTTAGGATAACCTTCTTCACTGTCCACAACACCATCAATTTTGGTGTCATCTGCAAAAACTACTAATCACACCTCCTAAATTCTTATCCAAATAATTTATATAAATTATACACAAAAGCGGAGCGATTCCTGCGGAATACCACTGGACACAGGCCTCCAGTCCGAAAAACAACACTCCACCACCACTGTGGCCCCTACCGTCAAGCCAATTTTCTATCTAAGCGGCAAGCTCTCTCTGAATCCCATGTGATCTAACTTTACTTATTAGTCTACCAGGTGAAACCTTCTCACAGGCTTACTAAAGTCCATGTTGACAACATCTACCTCTCTGCCCTCAATCATCTTTATGGTTACTCATTCAAGTTTGTGAGACACAATTTCCCATGGACAAAGTCATGCTGACCATCTCTAACCAGTCCTTGCCCCTCCAAAAGCATGTAAATTCCATCTCTCAGAATTCCCTCCAACAACTTACATACCACTGTTGTCAAAATCACAGGTCTATATTTTCTAGGCTTCTCCTTACAGTCTTCTTTTTGGTCCCTCTTTCGTCCCACTCTTTCTTTAACTATACTTCAAATATTTCTATGTTTATCCAAGATTTTGGAGTTCCTTTTACGTAAGCTGTCAAACTATTTTCATAAATGAGGTTTTGGAAGAAACCATTCACAATCAAGGCCAGTGATAAGTTAGATTAACACCTATGATAAGCCTTCCAATTTTCCTAAATTATTGAGCCAGGAGCAATCATTCCAAGAAGCAGAACTATTCAATATATCAAATCTAGTTGCATGGACCAAGTCAGACATTTTCTTTTCTATGATTTGATAGAGTCAAGAACCACAGTCTTATATAATGTTCCCACAATTAAAGATGTAGTGAGTGTGCTGAGAAAAGTCATGAAGTTGTAAGTTGATTATATCAACATTAGTTGATTTTGCCAGGAGTGCTAACTAAGGCAGGTGTTGCTAAAAGTGAGGATTTAGTCTTCTCTCAAAATTAGCGACTGGAACATCTAAACAAAACAAAAATGCTTTATCTTTTTATGGTGTAATTGCAACTTAAGCAGCATTGTGTTTTTAAACCAAATCACATGATTTTTCCCAATTCCATCTGCAACTTTCCTATTATTTCCACTGACAAGTCAATAACAACAGCAGTTGTTAAAAATACAACAGCTGTGGCAGATGTTTACCTCCCAAGTTTCCACATCTACGTTTTAAAACTAAATAGATAAAATTTCTTATGAACAATTGATTGTATTTTGTTACTGATTTTGTTACTGAATGAACAATTTAAAAATTAGTCATGCAGAGACATGAGCCACTAAACAACTGTCTAATTCATACAATGAGGCAGTAAATCGACTTACCTTCAGAAAATTGACAGGATTACATTCATTCACTAATTTTTCACACTCCTTCAGGTACTGCTCAATTGTTTTCTTCTGTGTTTGTTTTCCTTCCAGTCGAGCTTTACGTTCACGCTCTTTCCACTCTTTCTTCTTCTCAATCTCATCAACCAACTGCCTTCTTTTCAATTCCACTTTCTCCAAAATCCTACCGATCTTACTTTTAATAACTTCTTTCTCATAGTCTAAAATGTACTAGATAAATAGATAAATGTCAGCCTGTGCCCATCACTGGATTATAATTTCTGCATAATATAGTAAAAGTTGTAAAGCATTTCACCACTAAGTATCCAGCAGTCATTCTGAAATATTATTGAACTTCCAGAGTGATTTTAGCACTTAACATTGAGATGATCACTAGAGTTTGGTCCAAATAATAGTGAAGAAATTAACTACCTGGACTGTGGAATTTAGGGAAGAATATTCACTAAACAACTAGCAATTCTTACCTCAGAATCTGAAGGGGTGTCTGCAATTTCAACCTTTAATCTGTTATTCAGCTGCCTCAATTCTCTCAGGTTACTGAAGTACTCAAGCTGCAAAAAGTGCACATGCATGTTTCTATTTTGCAGGTATAGGAAATGACTTTAAAATTGCATTTAAATTAGCTAGTAACAATCTGAACATTCTGCAATACGTCTCTTCCACTTATTGAGAATGCCATTGACTAGGTGTTCTTATCTCTCCAATAAAGAATCAGTTGTATTTAAATAGTGCTCTTCCCGACCAATAGACATCTCAAAGCAGCCAATAAAGTCATTGCTACAATGCAGAAAACATAGTAGCAAAGTTGCTTGCTGCAAACTCTCACAAATAACTATGTGATAATAGCCAGATTATCTACTTTTTTGATGACTGGATAATTATTGGCCAGGACACCAGGATAATTTACTGTTTCTTTTTCAAAATGAAACAAGATCTTTTATATCCACCTCAAGTAGGAAGATGGATCCTCAGTTCAATGCCTCATTGGAAAGATGGGACTTCTGATTCCCTCAGTACTGCATTGAAATATCTAACTTGATCTTCATGCTCAAGTTCAAGGTTGGGATGTCTACCCAGAATATTTTTATGACTCATAGGTAAGAGTGTGACCAACTGAGCATGGCTGGTAAAAGCTTCAATTGTGTAAAGTACAAGGTTTTATTAATTGAACTTGGGACCAGGATTAGGCACTTTGTCCCTTGTGTTCATTAGATCATGGCTAATCTGTATCTTTACTCTATTTACTTACCTTGGTTGCATAAACCTTTATATTCAACAAAAATCTATTAACCTCAGATCTGAATTTTTTAATTGACAATTTTAAAAAGTAGCAGTATTTTTTTTTAAAAAGGGAGAGAGTTCCAGATTTCCACTACCCTGTGGAAGATAACCAAGGAAAGAGGAATGTCAATTAAAGAAGGTAATCTGCTTGTGAAGGTGCAAGAAAAAGATAAGGTTCTCAATGAATACTTTGTGTCTATTTCCACAAAAGACAAAAACAATTTGTAGAAGGCAACAGAAATAGCACATCTTGGGATAAAAATGGAGAGGAAATATGAGATGTTCAACATCTTTGAAAGTGGAAAAACCACCACACCCAGATAAAATGTATCCAAGATTACTAAGGATTTCAAACTAACAGAGGCTACAAATAGCAAAGGCTCTGACCATAATTTTCCAATGCTATCAGATTACAACCATGGTCCCAGAAACTGGAACACAAATGTCACACAGATGTTTAAAAATTGACAAATGGACAGCCCAATTAATTACAGGCAAATCAGTGGTGGACACATTATTGTAAAAGTTTGAGAAATGATGTAAATCATAATTTAGAGAAGCATGGGCTAATTAGGGACATTCAGCATACATCTGCTAAGGGCAAGTTGTGTCTGAGTCATTTGATTGAATTTTTTGAGTATGTAACAGGGAGAGTTGATGGGGGTATTTTTGATGTTATGTATGTGGAATCTGGCAAGGCTTTTGACCAGGTAAACTGGTCACAAGTATTTAGCAATATTTATCAGACTTAAATATAGCGGGTCATGACAAAGAAGTCTGCAAATGATAGGAAAATTGGAAAAAGCAGAACTGTACACAAAATGAGTAGTTCTGGTATTACATCTCTGCTCTTACATTCAATACCGTGCCCAATGAAGGAAAGGATCCAATATTCCTTCTTTATATGTATCTGTCCTGCCATTTTCAGAGGCCTATGGACATGCACTCTAAGGTCTCTTACTCTCTCTACTCTTCTCAATACCCTTGGTTTATTATATATTCCCTTGTATTGTTTGCCCTCAACAGATGCAAAACATTGTTCTTCTCTGGATCGAATTTCATTTGCCACTTTTCCAGGCACTCAAACAAACCATTGATATCATCTTGCATTCAATAGCCATCCTCTTCACAATCAATTACCCAGCCAACTGTTGAGTTGTCTGCGAATTCCCAATCATGACTTCCATATTTAAGTCCAAATCATGAATATATACCACTAACAGCAAGAGACCTAACACTGACCCTCTAGAAATGCTCTGGAACATGCTTTCAGTTTACAAAAATAGCCATCGACCATTTTCATTTAATAAAACAAAGAACTGTGGATGCTAGAAATCTGAAACAAAAACATCAACTGCTGAATTTTTGACCATTAGCCTTTGTTTTCTGTCACATTCTGGAAAAACTTGCCACAGCCTCCTGTATCCTATAGACTTTAATTTTTCTGACCAGACTGTCATGTGGGACCTTATAAAATATTTTACTAAAATCCATGTAGCCAATATCCACTGCACTACCTTCTTAGATTTTCTTTGTTACTTCCTCAAAATATTCAACAAAAGTTAATAACATGACTTTACTTTACCTTAACAAGATGTCACTCACTATTCCTGATTAATCTATGCCTTTCCAAATAAAAGTTAACACTCACTCAATATTTGTCCACCAAAATCAGACTGATCAGCCGACAATGATTTAGCCTATTTCTTGCACCTTTTTTGAACAATGGTACAGCATTTACAGACTTCTAATTCTCTGAGACAACAAGGTGCAGGGCTGGATGAACACAGCAGGCCAAGCAGCATCATAGGAGCAGAGAGGCTGACGTTTCGGGCCTAGACCCTTCATCAGAAAAGGGGGAGGGGAAGGGGGTTCTGAAATAAATAGGGAGAGAGTGGGAGGCGGATAGAAGAGGGATAGAGGAGAGGATAGGTGGAGAGGAAACAAACAGGTCGAAGAGGCGGGGATGGAGCCAGTAAAGGTGAGTGTAGGTAGGGAGTTAGGAAGGGGATAGGTCAGTCCAGGGAGGACGGACAGGTCAAGGGGGCGGGATGAGGTTGGTCGGTAGGAGATGGAGGTGCGGCTTGAGGTGGGAGGAGGGGATAGGTGGGAGGAAGAACAGGTTAGGGAGGCAGGGACGAGCTGGACTGGTTTTGGGATGCGGTAGGGGGAAGGGGAGATTTTGAAACTTGTGAAATCCACATTGATACCATTGGGCTGCGGGGTTCCCAAGCGGCATATGAGTTGCTGTTCCTGCAACCTTCGGGTGGCATCGTTGTGGCACTGCAGGAGGCCCAGGATGGACATGTCGTCTGAGGAATGGGAGGGGGAGTTGAAATGGTTCGCGACTGGGAGGTGCAGTTGTTTATTGTGCACCGAGCGTAGGTGTTCTGCAAAGCGGTCCCCAAGCCTCCGCTTGGTTTCCCCGATGTAGAGGAAGCCACACTGGGTACAGCGGATTCTCAGGCAGCTCACCTACATTGAATGAGATTTGAAAAGTGACCCTCAGGGCATCTGCTATTTCCTGCCTAACTTACTTTAACAGCTTAGGATACAATTCATCTAGCTCTGGCAATTTATCCACCTTCAAGGAGGTCAGTCCCTCTAGTATTTCTCTTCTGATTATATTTATTTTATTTACAATTTCACACTCCTCCTCTTTAACTGGATGTCTGCAGAAACAGTCTTCGTTGTGAAGACAGAGAGAAAACACACATTAAGAGAATACTGCTCACATCTTCTGAATCGACATGCAAGTTACCATGTACATCTCTGATAAGCCCAACCCTTTTCTTCGTAATCTTGTGACTTTTAATGTACTGATAAAACATTTTTGGATTTTCCTTAATTTTACCAAACAATTTTTATTATTTTCTCTTTATTTTTCTAATTTTCTTTTTCACTTTATCCCTATACTTTCTATACTTCTCTTAGCTTCCTAAAGTATTACTTTTTCAGACTGTCATAAGCTCTATTTTTTGCTTCATTTCAATTTGTCAGTTTCTGGATAACCAGGGCACTCTAGATTTAGCACTAATACCCTTTTATTTTGTGGGGACATGCTTACATTACGTCTTTTGTATCTCACTTTCAAGCATGTCCCATTAATTTGTCACCTCCTCAAGTCGCTGCAAACAGCATTCCCTGTAAATTTCTTTTGCACTTGTGCAGACCTCTGAGGTCCATGTATACTGACAGCTTCTGGAAGCAGAAGCCATTCATCAGCACACCAATTGATGTGTGTGGAGCTTTCCAGCAGCTGTGCTGCTCAGAGAGAACACTCAGAGAGAATGATGCTAAATCTAACTATTATGATTAGTATGTCCAGAATGGTCAAACAATTCCGTTTCATCCTCCTGCCAGCTCATTTCCTAAGACTAAATCTAGAACTGCTTCCTCTCTCATTAGACTCATTGCATACTGGCTGAAAGTGTTCTCTTGAATACAGTTAAAGAATTTTATGTCCTCAGTGCCTTTCACACTATTCATATCCCAGTTCATATTTGGATAATTTAAGTCCCCATTATTGCCCAATTCTTATGCACCTAGAAATTGACCTATGTATTTGCTCATCTAACTCCCTCCCACTGTTTTGGGATCTGTAGTGAACATCTAGCAGTCGGAACATAGAAACATTGAAAACAGGTGTAGGAGTAGACCATTTGGCTCTTTGAGCCTGCACTACCATTCAGTACGATCATGGCTGATCATGCAACCTCAGTATCCCATTCCCATCCTCTCCCCATACCCCTTGATCCCTTTAGCTGCATGGGCCACATCCAGCTCTCTTGAATATATCTAATGAACTGGCCCCAACAGCTTCCTGGGGGAGAGAATTCCACTGGTTCACAACTCTGAGTAAAGAAATTCTTCCTCATCTCAGTTCTAAATGGCTTACCCCTTATTTTTAAGACTATGACCCCTTGTTCTGGACTTCCCCGTCATTGGGAACATTCTTCCCACATCTAGCCTGTCTAGTCCCATCAGGATTTTATATGTTTCTATGAGATTCTCCCCCTCCTCCATTCTTCTAAATTCCAGCGAATATAAGCCCAGTTGATCCAGTCTTTCATGTGTTCTGCCATCCCAGAATCAGTCTGGTGAATCTTAGCTGGACTCCCTGAAGTGCAAGAATGTCCTTGCTCAGACAAGGAGACCAAAACTACACACAGTACTCAAGGTGTGGCCTCACCAAGGCCCTGTACAATGTGGATACTCCTCTTTTGTTGCTGGCCTCAATCTATATATCCTCAGGCCAGATGAGGTCATGTATACAGTAGTTCATTTAGTAGATCAGTTTCCTCTCAGCTACGATTGATTTTTTTTAAACCAGAAATGTTACACTTACTTTGTTTCTATTCCTTTCTCTATCCCTGTTTGAAAACTCCTTTTCCACGTTTGTGGAGCTGCCGTACTTGTTCCTTTTTAAGTGAGATTTATGTTAGCCTTGGGAGGCTAAAGAAGTATCTAATTTAGGGTGTCTAAACTTATGACGGACATAGGTTGAGCAGATAAGAGCTTATATCTGTTAGCCAGGAGTTTTAGTTGTAAAGTAACTGGTAAAAGGAACATAGCAACAGCAGTAGGCCATTCAGCACCCCCAGCCTGCTCGTCCAAGGATTAGAGGAATGTTGAGGGTATAGGGGCTGTGGAATTCGCTGCCTAAAAGAGTATTAAGGAAATAAACCTTCATCACGTTTTTAAAAATACTTCTAAGTTCATTTGGCACATCCTAACTTAAAGAGCATGGACCCAAGAAGTGAAAGATGGAATTAAAATGGATACTTCTTTTTCACAGACACGTTGGGCCACATCGCTCCAGTCTGCGACCCTAAACATTCCCATGGATGGCCTACCTGAACCTTAAGGTCCCACCTTGCCCTGGACTGCGCCAGTCCAGGGGGATTGGGCTAGAGGCTAAGACCGGCGATTAGGACAGAGAGACGCCCGAGGTGGGGGTTCATCTGCCACCTCAGTACCACCTGCCCCCTTCCCTTGTTCCTCACCTTCTCCTCCTGGTAGATCATGTCGACCAAGTTGACGGCGTGGAAGACCCCTCGGTGATCCTCGGAGACACATTGGCCGCACGCCAGCTGTTTGCAGACCTTGCAGAAGAGCTGCAGCTTCCTGTGCGGGTGCCGTTGGCAGAACTCGCGCTCCCCGAGGCTCCGCGTGCCGCTGCCCACCACCAACGGCAGCTCCTCGTCCTCCTGCTCGCGCCCGGCTCCCACCGCCTGCTGCTGCGAGCGGAAAAGTTTCACCACCTCGGCCAAGGTGGTGTTGCCGGGCAGGTTGACGGCTCCCTCGGCGATGAAGTTGCTCTTTCTGCAGAGGGGACACTCCAGCTGACTGTTCTTCCAGATGTTGTTGTTGTTGTTGCTGCTGCTGCTGCTGCTGTAGTCCAGGCCGTACGAGAAGGATTTGGTGACACACTCCAGAATGCATTTCTTGCAGAAATTGTGCGAGCAGACGGGCAGGGTGGTGGGATTCTCAAACACCGACAAACAAACCGCACAGGTCAGGCTGGCCTCCATTGCAGCCTTTAAGAAATAAACCAATTCCTTTCCACCCTCCCCCCGTATCTCTCTCCCTCTTGCATATTCTGCCAGCTCAGCGTTCGAGGTTTCGTTTCTTCCCTAAGAAGAAGCGCTCACACAAGACACCCAGGAATTGAAAGTAAAACTCGAGCCCTGTTACAGCACGTCACCAGGAAGTCCTGCCTTCAACGTGCCGCTTGTCGTTCAACATGTCACAAAGCAAACACAGGAAATGCATCTGCAGAGGTTCAAAAAGCGTTGGCTATGGTCCCTTGATCTGAACTATTCGTCCTTTAAAATCACGCCTTTCTATAAACTCAACGGCCTACAGTAAAAGCAACAACAACAACAACAAAATGCGGATTCTGGAAATCTGACATTATAAAAAAGAATATCTTACAAACATTTAGCAGGTTAGCTGGGGAGAACCGTTTCAGGTTCATGACTTTAGCATTGAGAAAAGTTACACATGGTATTAGACAGGTGAAAAAAAAGGCGAGAACAACAAATGGAAAGATTTGTGATGAGGTGACGGGCAGGGTGAAAATAAATAACCAATGGTGTCATGCGACAAAGTCAAAGTCTGTCGTGATGTGATAATATTTACATCATAACCTTTTAACCACATAGAGTCATACAGCACGGATGTTTTATGTTATTCTTGGTTTGTCTCTGTTTTTGTCCCCTTGTTCCTTTCTTGATCCCTCTGGGTTTTGCCAGTTGCTATTTTGCTATTCACCCCTCGTTGCAACACACCTTTTGTTTCCTTGCTTATCCTATTGTTGATTTTGGAGGGGGTTGTGTGTGTTTTGTGATCGCAGTTGCCTAATATAGGCAGTCCACAATTTGTAGCAATCTTCTGACAGTTGAGATTTTTTCAGAAGCAACAGTTAAATATGATACTTTAGCAGAAACAAATGAACTACAGACTGGTGAGCCTGACATCGGTGGTGGGCAAGTTGTTTAAGGGAATCCTGAAGGACAGGATTTACATGTATTTGGAAAGGCAAGGACTGATGAGGGATAGTCAACATGGCTTTGTGCGTGGGAATTCATGTGTCACTAACTTGATTGAGTTTTTTGAAAAAGTAACGAACAAGATTGATGAGGGCAGAATGGTGAATATGATCCATATGGACTTCAGTAAGGTGTTTGACAAGGTTCCTCATGGTAGACTGGTTAGCAAGGTTAGATCACATGGAATGCCATTCGCATTCAGAGCTAGCTCAAAGGTAGAAGACAGAGAGTGGTAGTTGAGGGTTGCTTTTCAGACTGGAGGCCTGTGACCAGCGGTGTGCCACCAGGAGCAGTGTTGGGTCCACTGATTTTTGTCATTTATATAAGACTACCTTGGATTCCAGCATCTGCAGTTTTTTTTTTGTCTCTAACTTTGTCATTTATATAAATGACTTGGATGTGAACAAAGGAGGTATGGTTAGTACGTTTGAAGATGACACCAAAATTGGAGGTATCGTGGACAGCAAAGAAGGTTATTGCAGAGTACAATGGGATCTTGATCAGATGGGCCAATGGGCTGAGGGAGTCCAAAACTAGAGGGTTTAAAGGTGAGAGGAGAAAGATATAAAAGGTACCTAAGGGGCAACTTTTTCGTGCAGAGGGTGGTACGTGTATGGAATGAGTTGTCAGAGGAATTGGTGGAGGCTGGGATAATTACAACATTTAAAAGGCATCTGGATTGGTATATGAATAGGGAGAGTTTAGAGGGATATGGGCCAAATGCTGACAAATGGGACTAGATTTATTTAGGATATCTGATCAGCATGGACGAGTTGGACAGAAGTCTGTTTTCGTGCTGCATGTCTTTATGACTCTATAACTGAGAGTGCAAATAAAATTGAATCAGTACAATCTATCAGCTATTACAGAGACATTGATTCTTATGTTGGGCAACGTTCGACAAGATTTAATAGAATTATTGTTATAGGGTACTCTCCTATCAGGGACAAGACAGGAGATTCTGTGTCAGTGAGTGTAAATTTGGGATGGTTTGTTGCTTTCCTGGTACTAGGATTAAGGACATCTCTAAACGTTTCAAGCATTTTGTTAAAGGTGAGATTGAGAAGACAGAAATTATTGTACACAGTAGTAGGAATGACATTTTTAGGGAAAAAATTAAAGCAGTACAGAGTGAATTTAAGAGCTTAGGTAGAAGATTAAAAAATAGAACCTTAAAAGTAGTAATTTCTGGCTCACTCCCACTGCCAAACTTAAATGAGGGAAGGAACAAAGGGTTAAAGGTGATAGATCAGTGGCTGAAGAGCTGGTGTGTTGTTCAGGGATTCAGGTTTTTGGATGATTGGAATGTCTTTTGGGATAGAAAAGACCTGTTAAAAAAGGATAGGTCTAACCTAAACTGGAACAGGACCAATATCTTAGCAGAGAGATTTGCTTATTCCATTAAGGGAGACTTTATACTGATAGAGAGGAGAGTGGAGGAATTCTATGCAGCAGTGTAAACAGAAGGATTGATGGGGAGGGTTCTGAATGTGAGGAGAGCACGTCAATTAGAAAAGAAAGACGAGAGAGTCAGAATATGTAGTAACTCTGAAGAACTAATTTGCATTTATTTCAATGCAAGGTGATTTACCGGTAAAGCTGACGAACTTGGGGCATGTTTAAGAACATGGGATTGCGACATTATAGCTATTACAGAAACTTGGCTGAGAGATGGACAAGACTGGCAGATCAATATTTCGGGTTTTAGATGCTATGGGAAGGATAGAAAAGAAGGCAAGAGAGGATGGGAGGTGGTGTTTTTGATTAAGAAATTAAATTACTGCTGTAACTAGGGAAGATATTTCTGAAAAATAGTCCAGTGAAAATATGTGAATAGAAATTAAAAATGAGAAAGTAAAGATCACATTGATGGTTTTGTACAATAAGCCCCCCCAATAGTGAGAGAGAAATTGAGAAACAAATATGTAGGAAGATCTCAGATATATGTAAGCATAATGAGGTTGTAATAATGGGGGATTTTAATTTTCCAAACATTGGCTGGGACTACCATAGTGTTAAAGGTTTGGTCAGTGAAGAAATTGACGAATGTTCTCAAGAAAATTTTCTTTATCCATATGTGTATGCTCCTACTAGATAAGGAGCAAAACTCGACCTTCTTTTGGGCAATAAGGCAGGGCAGGTGACTGAAGTAAAAGTGGGGGAACACTTTGGGTCTAGCAATCATAATTCTATTAGTTTCAAATGGTTACAGAAAAGGATAAGCCTTGCAAAGAAGTAAAACGTTTTAATTAGAGTAAGGCAAATTTTAATGGTATGAGACAAGAACTTTCAAAAATTGATCGGAGTAGACTGTTCACAGGTAAAAGACCACCTGACAAATGGGAGGCATTCAAGAGTTCAGAGGCATTATGTTCCTGTTAGAATGAAGGGTAAGGCTGGTAAGGTTAAAGAACAATGGATAAATAATGATATTGAGGTCCTAGTCAAAAATAAAAGAGGATCTTATTTTGGATATAGACAACTTGGTTCAATTGAATCTCTTAATAATTATAAAGAGTGCAGGGACATTCTTAAGAGAGAAGTCACGTAGCTAAAGGGGGATATGAGATTGTATTGGCAGATAAGGTTAAGGATAATCCAAGGAGATTCTACAAATACATTAAGTGCAAGAACGTATATAGAGGGAGTGTAGGGCCTCTTAAAGATCAAGGAGGTCATCTTTGTGTTGAACCCTAGGAGATTTGGGAGAGATTCTAAGTGAATATTTCGTGTCAGTTTTTACTGTGGAGAAAGAAATAGAGTCTAGAGAATGCAGAGAAATAAACTTTGATATTTTAAAAACAATTCACCTTACAGAAGAGGACATTCAGGAGGTCTTAGAAAATATAAAGATAGATAAATCTCCAGGACCTGATCTAATGTATCCCAGAATGTTGTGGGAAGCAAGGGAGAAAAATACGAGATCCCTTGCAGAAATATCTGCATCATCTATAACTACAGGTAAGGTGCCTGATGACTGGAGGGTGGCTAATGTTGTACCTTTGTTTAAGAAAAGTTATAAGGAGAAACCGGGGAACTATAGACATGTGAGCCTGAGTTTGGTTGTGAGTAAATTGTTGGAGGTGATTATAAAAGATAGTGTTTATGGGCGTTTAGAGAGGCAAAAATCGAGTACGGGTAGTCAGCTTGGTTTTGTGCGAGGAAAAATCATGTCTCACAAACTTGATTGAGTTTTTTAAGGAAGTTACCCAAAAGATTGATGATGATAGAGCAGTAGACATTATTTATTTGGATTTTAGTATAGCCTTTGACAAGGTTTCACATGGTAGACTAATTGGATACATAATTGTCTTAACGGCAGGAGACAGACAGTAATGGTGGAGCGGTGCTTTTCGGACTAGAGACCTGTGACCAACAGTGTTCTGCAGGGATCGGTTCTGGGTCCTCCTTTGTTTGTCATTTATATGAATGATTTGGATGAGAATATAGAAGGCATGGTTAATAAGTCTGCAGATGACACCAAAATTGGTGGCATGGTAGCTAGAAAAGGAGGTTTTCTAAGATTAAAAAGGGATCTTGATCAAATGGGCCAATGGGCTAAAAATGGCAGATGGAGTTCAATCTGGATAAATGTGAGGTATTGCATTTTGGTCCAGCAAACAAGGGTAGGGCTTATACAATTAATGGTAGTTCTTTTGAGTAGTGTTATAGAACAGAGGGACCTAGAGGTGCAGGTACATAATTCTTTGAAGTTTGCGTCACATTTAGACAGGGTGGTTTAAAAGGCATTTGGCGTGCTTGCCTTCATTGCTCAGCCCTTTGAGTATAGGAGTTGGGACGTCATGTTGATGTTGCACAGGACATTGGTGAAGTCTCTTCTGGAATACTGTGTCCAGTTCTGGTTGCCCAGTTTTAGAAAGGATATTATCAAGCTGGAGGGGATTCGGAAGAGATTTACCAGATGTTGTCAGGTATGGAAGGTTTGAGTTGTAAAGAAGGGCTGGATAGGCTGGGACTTTTTTCACTGGAGCTTAGGAGGTTGAGAGGAGACCTTAGAGCAGTTTATAAAATAATGAGCAGTATAGATAGAGTTGATGGTAGTTGTCTTTCCCTAGGAAGGGGGGATTTCAAGACTAGGCGACACATTTTTAAGGTGAGAGGAGAGACATTTAAAAAAGACATGAGGCAAATTTTTTATACAGAGGGTGGTTGGCATGTGGAATGAGCTTCCTGAGGAAGTGGCGCATGCGGGTACAA